CACACTTTCTATTCAGCAGTGTGAGACTCTCCTACCCCGCAGGTAAACCACCTGAAGCTTCTTACTGGCTGGGTTATTTCGGGAAAGTAACTTAACCTCTCTGGGCACCCCCCAAGGTCAGAAACTTTGCTTTCGGGGAAGAAATCGGTATTCAAACGAGATACAAGCAAAACGCAAACCCGCGGGCGCTGGCACAGTCTCTTCCCGGAGCCTGGGACTTTCTAATGGGAGGGTGCGTCCCCAGACCCTGGGACCTGCGAAACCAAGCGCCTGGCCGGCGAGCAGAAACGAAACCTCAACACCCTTCAGCTTCCTCCGCTCGGTTCTGGGAACCCGCGTGCCAGGCTTCGTGAAAGCGCGCCCCGCAGCACCCGCCTGGGGCCCGGGGCCGGCCCCGACTACAGCCCGCGGTCCCAGGCCGGGAGGTGCAGGGGCCGGCGCGGTCGGGCCCGAGCAGCAGCGCGACGCGCGCTTCCGCCCCGCTCGGCTCGGCGGCGGCCGCTGCGGCCCCACAATCCCCTTCTGGCTCCGGGGACGGGCGGGGCGGGGCGGGGCGGGGCGGGCAGAGCGGGCGGAAATAATTTTCTGTTTGGTCCTCTCTGCCCCAGTCCCTTAGCCGCGGTACGCGCGAGAAGGGCGAGGAAGCCGGAGGCGGGAAGCGGGAGCGGGAACGCGAAGCTCTGGCACGCTTAGAGGGGCGGGGAAGGGACGAGAGGGTATTGGGCGCCTACTGTGTGTCTTTGCGCTTTACAAAAAGATTTTCGTTAAATCTTCCTTACAGCTCTTGCCAGAAGGACTTAACGACCCGTTTAAGAGGGACAGGCTGAGCCTCTGAGAAGTGAAGCCACTCGCCGAAAACTGCACACCCGGGATCAGCGTGACACCCCAAATCAGCACTCAGTTACGCAAGGAGAGCACGATGAACTTGAACCACTTGTTGGCTGTGTCCCGTTCTTGATTTTGGGGGGGGGGCGGCACACAGTAGGTGCTCAGAAAAGTATCGGAAGATGAAGAATGAGTTTGACAGCTCAGCCTCGGGAGTACCCGCCGCGAATCCAGATCGGCACCGGGTTTCTCCCGACCTCGGAAAGGAACTTCTGCGATGGGCGGGCGGACATCCCCGTTCGATACAGGCGTTCGGCGAACAAGTGGTGGCGGAACCCCAGCCTTAGCGAAGGACAGACTGGGTTTAAATCCTCGCTCTTTTCTTTTCCCACCTGTGTGAGTTTGAGCAAGTCATTCCATCCCCGGAACCTCAGTTGCACCACCTATAACATGGGGATAATAACACCCACCCTAAAAGGTTGTGGGGAGGATTAAATGAAATTATTCCTAATACACTTACTAAACGCCTAAGTATCATCGCGCGATCATCCCACAGGTTTCCGGCGGTGCACCGCACCGGTAGGACCTGAGACAAAGGCTCCTCGGTCCCAGACCGTAGGTCGCTCACCCCTGGACGCAGGGACCAACGGGCCTTCGAGTGACCCTCGTCTAGCGAAACCCGAAACTGCGGCCACCTCGGCCGCGATGGGTCCCGAAAGTAAATAATTGAAATATTCCGAAACAGGCTCATGGCTAGGGCTAACATTTTTGCGTTTAATTTTCCTGAAGTTGTATTCTTGTCAGTACTGTATAGGTAATTCGTTAGACACTCCTAAGTGAGACTTCCCGTCTGTGTCGTGTTTAACTTTTCGTATGAGCGAAGTACTCAAAGCGGACCAAGATACTCACTTGTGGCAATCCTCGCAGGGATCCCAACCTTCGGACCCAACCCCCGACAATCCCCTGGCTCTCGGCCCTTTCCCCAAGGCATGGACGCGGCACTGACAGGCCTCCCCCCTCGCCCGTTTAGACAGAGCCTCTTCGTCCTGGCAGCCCTCCGAGATTCCCGAGTCCCTCCAGGAGCAAGGGGACGGTGGGGGGTTGCAGCCCAGAACTCAGCTTGTCGGGCCTCCCCAAACTCCAGCCTAGCCAGGATTAAAGGGAGTAAATCCCTTGACGCCACAGACCAGGTCAAGGACAAGTTCTCCCCCGCCCTACTCCCCCTACCCGCCTGGGCGGGGATTCAACCCCCCTTTCCCTGATGAAAGGTACTAGATAGACATGAAGGGAGGGGTGGCGGCGGGCCCCGGCCCCTTGATGTTCCGGTTGAACAGGTGCTGGTGAAAAGGAGGTGGTCCCGGCGGAAGAGTTGGCTTGGGGGCAGTCAGCCAAAGGGGGGGCAGCCTCCTCCACCCTCAGTCCCCTGCGGGTCTTCCCCTCTCCTCTTCGTCTGCCCCTCCTCCGCAGGAAGCGTTCCCGGCCGCGAGGTCTTTGAAGTGTTGCTGAAGCCCCCAGGGCGGCCTTTCCCCCTCCACCACCCCACCTCCCGCTGAGGGAGTGTAACCTTTGGTCCCTGCGGGCGCCACCCCCTTTTAGGAAGTAGGGAGGGGGGGGTCAGATTTCGTCCCCCTTGCCCACACTGGTCTTGGGGAATGAAGCCTTCCAGCTGACATCCCCTCACTTCTTCCCAGACCCAATTTTAGGGTCTTTAATCCTTTGGGGTGCTGTGCGTGAGTTTATGTGATGTGTTTGTGTGCGTGTCTAAAGGTCGTGTGTAACTTGTTTGTGAGCACTTCCGTAGTCGTAGTCTTGGGTCTCTAAATCGCGTGGGTCTCTAAGCGCGCCTGTGGGTCTGCCTGGCGCCTGAGAGGGTCTGGTGGTGTGGCTGGATGAGGCTAGGAGTGAGTTTGTGTCTGGGTGCCTCGGTGTGCCTCTAAGGTGAGTCCCTGTGCGTCTCTAAGGTGAGTCCCTGTGCGTGTGCGTCTGTAAGCTAGACCGGAAGCTCCCCGAGGGCAGGAATACCTCTTTTGTTCACTGCTGTATCCAGCGGCTGCACATAGTAAGCATTCAATAAATACTTGTTGAATGACAAACGTCTGCGTGTGAGAGTCCACCCTCCAGAAGCGCCTCCAAGGAAAGAGCCCATGAACAACCCATCTAAAGAGCTCCCAGACACGGAGGGGCGAGCGGGTCGTTCCTGCTCCTAGAGCCCCTTTTCCCTGCTCTCCACTCCCAAGTTTCCTTGAGGTTGAAAAACACCCGCAGAGAGGAAGACCTGGGCGGAGGGGACTGGAGAATCGGAGACCCGGGGCCGAGACAGAAGGGCAGGCACAGGGAGGGCTCAGGAGCGCCAACCAAGAAGCACAGAAAGAAAAAGAAAGGAAAAATTAGCGCGGAGCAAGCGAGCTAGCGAAAAGCTCCCTACCAAGCCAGGCTTTGTTCCCTGAACCTAAGACTTTACCCGGCGGCGGGCGGCAGGCGGGCCGGGAGCGAGCAAGCGGAGGCGCGCGGCCATGGCTGCCGCGGCCGGGCAGGGGGGCCGGGGGGGCGGCGCGTGAGCGGGCGGCGCGGGGCGGGCGCCCGCGATGTACCACTCGGCGCCTCCCCCGCCGGGCCCGGGCTGCGCGGAGGCCGGGCGGCCCTGGTAGCTGGGCGCGAGGCGCGGAGGGGGCGAGCCCGGCGCGCGGGTCTCATTGTTGGGGGGGGCCCGTCGGGGCATGAGGGCGAGAGCACGGCGGGGGGGGCGGCCAGACAGAGCGTGCGAGGAGGAGGAGGAGGAGGAGGACGCCGAGGAGGAGGAAGGAGGAGGCAAAGAA